CCGGGAAACACGGAAACCGGGAAACACGGAAACCGGGAAACACGGAAACCGGGAAACACGGAAGCCGTGTGGTCCATCCGCCTCAGTAAAGGGAGTATCCCCCTCAAGCTCCTCCGCAAGAAAGTCCAAAGCAAACAAGATCCCGCCCCCGTGTTGCACGCGTGCGGCCCATCCGCCCCCGTTTTCACGAAGAGCTTAATACGAGAACAAAGAAACGACCAAGCGAATGTAGTGTGAACAGCGTGCCAGTAGTTCCCTCGTCCTGTTGACAAAATAATGCAAGACCAACACTAGTCCTCCGGACATGTTGCAACCGTTGTACTACACAGACCAGAGGACTTGATGTTCATCTACGCGTGCCACTTTTTTAAGTATACGGTGTCTACAATCTTCGAGCTGTATCCGTAGGTACTAGAGTCAATTTGTACACAAGTCCATGGACGTAGTTGACGTTCTTCGTAGTTCTCATCTCCGCTACAAAATAGCGCAAGCCTCCTCGTCATTATACGCAGAGGAAAACGGCTGCATGCCCGGAGATGGAACAACAGTGCCTGAGGCCACGCCGGCACCGCTCGTATTCTCCGCAAAAGTATCGTACTCGTATAAAGGCATCACAAATTTCCTCAGCGTGAGAACTGGATTTGGACATGCTGTTTTACCTCAAGGACAAGATTTGTCATGTGCATGGTTGCAATTTCAATTTGTACGACGCACGAGTACGATACTTTTGCAATGCATAACTCGTCCCCTTCGTTGACAGGTAGTGGTCCGCCTGGTTTAGCGCGTCCACCAGAACCAGCAGGATATGTATGTCTTGTTCGACGTTTTCGTCCGGTTGGTGAGGAGGAGAAAGCGCGGTGGAAGAAGAATCTCTGTTCATCGTAACATTTTTCCCGGCACGACCAGCTCCTGTGCCAGGAGTCGCATTTGTCGTGCTGCTGCTGACACGCATCCTGTTCAACATCCCCGTCGCCTCATCTTCGGACGAGCTCGAGGTCGCGGTCCATATTGGACCTCCGGTTGTTGCTGCTGCTCCTGCCGCTGCTGTGTTCAACATCGAGTTCTTCATCCCTCCGCCGGAAGATGGCGCAATATAGTTATGCTCCGGCGGCCCTTCGGTGTTGCTTTTGTGCATGGTGTCCAGCAGGAGATTGATATCAAATGCAAATCGGTCGGTGTAGTCTGGAATGAAGACGCAGCTAATTGGGGTTGCTGTGGCTGAGTCTTGCAAGACAAACTGCGAGGTCTACCGTCCTTTGCATGACAAACCGCCTGGTGCTTCCAGCACGACAAAACATCTCACTACTCCTCTTCATGCATCACAGATTTTTTTGCCCTTCATCTTTGGCATCACAAATAATAAATCCTGACCCAGACAACGTATTTGCGATGCATAGTTGAGGCTGGATCGGGAGCTGCTTGAGGAGGATCCACAGTTGGTTGACGCGAGGTCAGTATGACCCGCTGAGGTGTTACAATCTCAAACGCTACACTAGAATCTGGAAATTTGTGATGCAAATAGTGCATTATCTATCCGACTGTTACAACAGGATTGCGCATGTTGACAAGTTTCGAAGCTCCAAACCCCGTGAGATGATTCTGGTGAAATTTGTATTGCGAAAACCCCATTTCTCTGTATGGTACAACTCATGCCGTTCATGCAAGACAAGTTTCAGATTCTATGGTAACCGATTTGAGATTGTAACATCTGAGCAAGCCATAGTCAGTCAGCGAGATTTTTGGCGGCAGTGGGGGCTGGGGCGGGTATTACAGTGAAAAATGCTCCCACCCTTAATTTTGCAAAAATTTGTGAGGCGAAGTTTCCAAATGAAAACTTTTTGCTTTGCATGAAAGGAGTATGAATCCTTCTGATGCAGAGTGTAGGCGTGTATCGCATCGCTTGCATGACAAGCGCGACTCTTGCAGCTGGGGTCTTTTGCAATACAAATTTTTGCTATTCACGATTGGAACAAACCTGTGATGCTGACAGATGCAAGAGGGCGAATGTTTCATTTGGAAAGGTTTGCAATGCAAATGCTCCCAAGTTCGGGGGTGGGGGCGTTTTTCATTGTAATAGCGGGAACTGAATGTTTGCGATCTGCTGCGGGATGGGGAGCGGAAAATCAGGGTTGTAGATATCGTTCAAATTATTGT